GTGAATTTGCAGTAAGTAGAATGTTTACTTATTGCAGCACACAGTGTGGAGAACTGGCAAGTGTTAACATTATCAGCAGATATTAACGTTTTCATCTTTTAATACTTGTTATCAAAAGGAAAGTGACTGTACATTTTGATTTTGTGCAAGATCACTAGTTGGCCAAGAAATGGTTGAGATTCTTAGGGGGTAAACATTTCAGCATTATGAGGGCTCCCCTCTGAAGTGGCTGACCCCAGGTGCCCCCAGGAAGGTTCCAGTGTATCTTTCAGAAGCCAGAACCCTTTCAGGACATCGCCCTGTACACCTGGGCCCATCCTTACATTCTCACTTATCCCTCTACCTGCCCCTCTAGGAGCTTGGCTGAGATAAGGGTCTTGGCTCAGCAAACGTGGGTGACATTTCAGGAGCAGGTAACCTTTGATGCCGTGGCTGTGGACTTCACCCAGGATGAGTGGGAGCTGTTGGGCCCTGCCCAGAAGACCCTGTACCACCACGTGATGCTGGAGATCTTTAGGCACCTGGTTACCGTGGGTGAGGCTATGCCTGTTTAATTTCTATCTGCCTGGCAACTTCACAGAGTGGGTTTGGCAGTGTGGGGTCACCGAACCCTAGGTATCCTCTTCCAAAGTCTTACAGCCTAATCTCTCACTTGGACAGGGCTTTCGATCCCCAAGCCAGATATTGCTGCCCAGCTAGAACTTGCCATGGATGGTGGACAGAGGATGCTCCCAAAGATTGCTGCCCAGGTGAAATGGCAAAAGGCTCTTTATCATTTCTTGTACCTTTCATTACCTATGGCATTTCCATAATTACATCTGGCATTACTTTCCTTTTGCCTGAGAGCTCCCTTTATCATTTCTTTTACAGTAACAAAATTCACCCACTTTGTGTTTGCCTGAAAATGCCTTTATTTCATCTTTATTTTGGAAAGATACTTTCAGCAGTGAAATTTAGACTGGCAGTTCTTTTTTATTTTAGCATTTCAATGACAGTATGTTGTCTTCTGGACCCCAGACTGGCAGTTCTTTTTTATTTTAGTATTTCAAAGACAATATGTTGTCTTCTGGACCCTACAGTTTCTGTTGAGAAGTCAACCCTCCATCTTTTTTTTTTTTTTTAAAGATTTTATTTTATTTGGGAATTAAGGGAGGGAACAGCGCTGGGGAATTGGAAGGGGAACAGACAAGTTGCTGTCCTTTTGTTCTTCAGTCTAGTTGTGGACGTCGCTTC